AGAATTGATACCAAACATAACCTAAATTTTAAAGATTGAGAGTTTAAGCAAACGGGCCAAACAGTGAACCGCCTAAATATGCGCGGATCGCGTAATTATTTGAATGAAATTATAAGCATTCATTTCACCGAGTAACATTCATTTCACCAAGAAAGAAGAGCCCCGTGGCTGATCCCTCTCTCTAACCCTATACCTACACCCTTATTATTCTAAATTAAGGTAAAAACAAGTACTTTTATTGTTCTTCTTCATGCGTGATCTGATCTCTGCTAATTCTCTGTATTTATTAATGTAAAGAGTGATTGGTGGAGATATATTTGATTCAGAATAGCATGATTTTTATAATTATGGGCAATTTCATTGCCATTTTAACGAGTTTCTCGTTAAAAAAAGGTATTATTTTTGTTTTGGAGTTGATTGAATCGGCATTTGGTAATTGCCAGTGATTTGGGTTAATAAAAGTTATGTTTGTTTATAGGCTAAATGCATGAAAGAAAAAGATTGTATTTTTCCATTTTTCTTCAAGAGGATGAAAATAATTTCGCTGCAAAATGAATAATTCTATAGCATCTTCTTTTGTTTATACTTTTTTATATGTGCTGCTGTGAATGTAGTATCTTTCCGAGCTTTAAGCTTCAAATTAAATTCAAGCTTCTATGATCTATCTTTTGTCTTGGAGGTTAAGTTTGAATATCTCATGCAATGAGGTGGACTTACTCTGGAGTAGCTTAAAATCTAATCATCCAATTGAAAATGCTAGAAGCTAAGAAAATGGTGACATGGTTATTTTATTTAATTATTTTGTAACTTAGAAGCTAATATAATCTGATTAGGGTGCCTGACTTAGCTGATGCTTGTGCTTCTTGATATTGAGTAAAAGCTAAATGCAAAAACTTATATTTATTTGTCTGAGTTTGATATTTGAAGTACAATGTTACAAACACACAAGGTAGAACCCACCCTTATAACTAGCTTGTAAAAAGGAGGGTATGTGCTTAGAAGTAATTGTTACAATTTACTTTGCTTATGGTGTGATTTATAGCTATCTTGCAATTTTGCACATCTGCTTTCGAGTGTGTTGTTTTTGGTTTGATTTTTTGATTCTTATGGTTAGTTTGGCCACATAGTGGGCACTTTGTTTTAAAAAAAATAATCTTGANGCAACTTTGTTTTAAAAAAAATAATCTTGAATTGATTTTTATACCCATAAAACAGTTAACGTGAATAAAGATTACATAATTTGTATGTTCCATTAGGAGAAAACAGACTATTATTCCACATATGTTTGCTTACCGTAACGCCATTTTATGGTTTTGGGTTGACCTAGTATCTGTTTTGACAGCATGGATATAAGGGTGCTCTTTGTTCTTTTTATACTCAGCACGTGCTGGTGCTGCAGTGCTAGAGATCTGGAAACAGCTAATCGCTTCACTGTGGGGGACGCAATTATTTCAGGTACTTCTTTACCACTAAGAGAGTAGACACCTCTAGACACGTTTTTCCGAGCAAAAAAATTAGTAGAAGTTAATTTTAAGTTTTTAAGTAAATTTTTATTTTGAAACATGTTTGGATAAGTTACTTTTTTCTTACTTTAAAGTAAAAAGATTTTCTTCCTAACCAAATTAATAACTTATTTTCAATTTTCATCGCATAATAACTTACATATTTTAAACTAACTTATTTAGACCCCATTTGAGCCCCATTTTTGTAATGAAAATGTATTTTGAAATAGTGTTTTTTGGGAAAATGTGTGGTTAAAATATAAGAAAAAGTTTTGAGTTTGCGTATGAAATTATTTTATGGGACAATATGTGTTTGAAAATGAGTTTTGGAAAAATAAGTTTTTGAAAAAATGGAGGCCAAACATAGGCTTACTTATAAGCGAACTCTTCAAGCTTAGCCATACGTGCTCAGTCTCAATATGGATGCATAATTTGTTTACTTGACAATGCGTGCTTGAAAATACTACGGCTTTTCTTGATAATTCGAGCAAAACCGATGACATTGCTGTAAATATATTAAACACTAATTCCTTCTGCTTCTAACAGCCGTGCAGACAAATAATAAGCTGCTTGAGGGAGAAGCTCAATACATGGATGGTGTTACCAAGAATGAAAAACCATGCACATTATGTGAAGAATTTGCTACTGAGGCTCTAAATTACCTTTCAGAGAACAAAACTCAAACAGAGATTATTGGCATCCTTCATAAATCCTGCTTTAGGATCCCAACATTCAAGAAGCAGGTATATATAGAAATTTGATTAAGTGGTGTATTAAAATTCAATGCCGTCATTTCATTCTTCCATAAAATGGTAGTGATCTTCCATTGAATTAACCTTTATATATATATATATATATATATATATATATATATATAGATNAACCTTTATATATATATATATATATATATATATATATAGAAAAACGTTTAACATTTTTTTTGAATGTGAGTAGACTTTTGGTGACAGCTAATTTCAAAGTATGACGATCTTATTCTGACTCCTGCAATTCTTGTCCTTGCAGTGCATTGCTTTGATGGACTATTATGCCCCTCTCTTTTTCTTAGAGGTTTCTTCAATGCAACCAGAAGAATTCTGTCGAAAGGTTGACCTTTGCAAACAAGTGGGTTCGATTTCTCAGCATCTTGTTAACGATATATGTAATTTGTGCCATAATGCTGTCACAGAGGCCTTAATGAAGTTGAAGGATCCCCACACAGAGGTAATATTGAGTCCTCACCTGATTGGTGTCTTATATTTACTAGGAATAGTTATTTGTTGGCATGTTCCAGAGCACACAAGTACAATTGAGATGTGAAATTTATAAGTTGAAGGGAAATCTCACATTGTCAAGCCGATTTTCTAATGATGCGGTCAACCCATGGGCTTTATCGTGATATTAGAGCACATGTATGACAAGAATTGGTCGGGTTTGTTCCTGTAACCTATGTTGGGGGCAAGAGCCCAGTGACTTCAGTTCTGGCGTTGAGGGGGAGTCTTAGCACATTCCACATTGCCTGGATACAATTGAGATATTTAATGTACGAGATCAAGGGAAACCTCACATTGTCAACCCTGTTTTACAATGACGAGTTAGGCCGATGGGCTCTATAAGTTTTTATCCTGATCGTGAAATAAACCTTCGTGATTCTATTAATAAATCACCCGGCATTAAGCTTTAACTCTATGAAACAAGCTCTTTATTATATTTGTGTTCTCCTTGTGTTTTCTTTCAGTTAGAAATAATCAAGCTGCTTATGAAGGCATGTGGTGCTATGGAAGGCCGTGTCAATAAGGTAAGAACAGTTCTATAGAAATTCTAGGCATTTGTTAAATCTTCTCATCTCCAAATTTCTGTCACTGAAATTGATGAGCTTGGACCATGGTAAAACTATTAAATTTGGCTTGGTAATTTGACATGATATAGGCTATGTTCATCCTCTTTAATGGTACATCCCTGAAAGTAAGAAGCCCTTTTTTGTATCTTGCTATTTAAGTCTGGTGAATATAAGTTGAAATTCAGCACTGAACTCTTTCTAGAATTGTTTAAGATCATGATTAACCACATTTTCTTAATTTATGTTCAAAACTGTTAAAAGATGTTGTGGGGGGGGAGTCTCTGTTGGTTGAACAACGATTACCAGGGCCGTTACATTTAGTTGACAAAGATGAACCATTCCCAAACACTGAGTCCGGCCAAACCTTCTTAAAACGTACCATCAGTATCAGATATAACACCTTACAACATTTGTCCTATCCGAACATGCTATTAGTCTGATGGTTGAGGTTTGGTTATCTGCACTTGAACATAATTTCTCTGTTGATTAGGTTCTTCGTATTTTATCTACCCGGCCCTGTAGCTCCACCAACTAGCCCATTAGGTTAGACGCAGATAAGCCAGGGCTATGGGGGCTTTGCCCCCGTGGTATGGTACGATACTGTATTTTAAGGGTAATTTCGGGATTATGATTCTTTATAAATAACTATTGTAACCCTATTTGAAGTTTGTGAATTATTTTGTGCCGTAGAGTAGACGTATACAACTTGTCGAACCACTTAAATTTTTTTGTGTCTATCTTTTATTTCTTCTATTCGATTTTAATTTTCACTTTTGCACAACACTATCAATGCGTGAAAATTTGTTGTAGGGAGAAGCTAATGCTATGGATTCAATTTAATCTCTCAAGTTAGCTTACTATCAATTTTCTTCTGGCAGTGTAAGAGACTGGTTTTCAAGTATGTCCCCGCTATCCTTGTCAGCGCCAAGCAGTTTTTGGAAACAAACGATGTATGTAAAATGTTGCATGCTTGTAATCCTGCTGCAATTAGTACAGAGCAAGCATTTTTAAGGACAGGAGCATCCATGGTTGCTGCATCTTAAGGCTAGTGATTTTGTGAAGTAAAATGAAACATTATTTCATTTCTACTTTGTTCGATAAACTGAGATCGCTGTTTGGTTTGATGTAAATAATATACTTAACATGTGTCAATAATTTTTAATGACAATATTTTCATCTTCAAAACCGTTGCATCCGATTCTATGAAGAGACTAAGCTAATTATAACTTTTTCATTTTGAGTATGACAGAAATAGTCATTCTTCGAGTTAATTTGGCACTCGAAAACTTAAGCTCAAGATTCAAACATACGTTTTATCACATATTTTGTAAGATTGCAATTAATATTCATATTAACCATATATATCATAGGACCCACATTTTATAATCAGTTATTCACTTCCCTTGAGACATAACAAGAATATAAAGTGGATCTAGTACCAAAGCTCATTGCCACGAGCGAGAAATTTTAAGATCTCTTAAAGTATTAACACATTGATCTAGTAGCCACAAGCGATCATATCACAACACATCTAATAAGAATATAGATTTTCTAACCCTCGAGTTCGAAAAAATTGTGACTCGCAGGTGGACTCTGGATTATTTGGGATTTTCTATTTTGCTCATCAAATTCTTCGATAGTGTCTCATGCTAGGCTCTTGTCAAATGTGGATTCCTAGCCTTGAGAGAGAGAGAGAGAGAGAGAGAGAGAGAAAGAGAGAGGAGAAACTAGGTTGTCGAGACCATTTGATACTTCCAATTACGCCTCTACAGCAGACCAAAAGGCAACTTCTCTTGTATAAAAAAACAAACATGATAGATGTACAATCATTAGCACATTGTAAGTTTTTACAATGTGACACATTAGGGTGAAGTTCACTGATTAATTATACTTCCAATTACGCCTCTACAGCAGACCAAAAGGCAACTTCTCTTGTATAAAAAAAACAAACATGCTAGAAGTACAATCATTAGCACATTATAAGTTTTTACAATGTGACATATTAATTAATCAGTGGACTCCACCCTAACGTGTCACATTGTAAAATTTACAATGTGTTAATCATTGTACAAGAGGATTTATTAAGAAAAAAATGGAGCGGACCTTCAAATATCAATTGAATCTTCGAATCAAAAATGGACTTTTCAAAGCGATTCTAAAATTTGAAATTGGAACAAAAAATTGTTAATCACAGGTTCCCAGATGGATCTTGGTTCTAGGGCTGGGCCCATAAATCAGAAACCCAACCCAAATACAAAGGATAAAATTATTGGGAAAATTATATAAAACCAGTGGTTTAATTTGTCATTTTTAAAAGTCAGTTTTTAAGTTTATTTTTGTAAAAATCAGGTAGTATATTAAAACCTAATTGTTAACCTAATTTCTACCCCAATTCCCGTCGCCTCCCCTTTCCTCTCCTC